TCACTTCTCTAGGGACAGAGGCTGACTGGTCTAGTTTCCCAGATCCTCCCTCTTGCCCTTTCTCAAGACTGGAGTTATGCTGGCTATCTTCCAGTCTTCAGGCACATCACCTGTTTGCCAAGACCTTTCAAAGTTGATAGTGGTTCAGTGATCACCTCTGCCAGTTCTCTCAGTGTGTTCCTTTGAGGCTTATGGATTTGTGTTCATTGATTTTGGCTAGATGCTCTCTGACCAGATCCTCGTCAACCAATGAGAAGACTTCCTTTCCCTAGTCTCTCTGTGGAAACCTCTCTGGGCAAACTGTTCCAGTGTCTCACTACCCTTACTGTAAAGAATTTCCTCCTAATATCTAGTCTAAATGTACCCTCTTCCACTTTGAAGCTATTTCCCCTTGCACTGTCACTACATGCCCTTATGAAAAGTCTCTCCCCATGTTTCCTGCAGGACTTCTTCAGGTACTGGAAGGCCACTATAAGGTACCCCCGGAGCCTTCTCTTCTGCAGACTGAAAAGCCCCAACTGTCTTAGCCTGTCCTTGTAAGGGAGGAGCTCCAGCCCTGTGATCATCTTTGTGGCCCTCATCAGGATCTGCTCCAACAGCTTCATGTCTTTCTTCTTGCTGGAGTCCCCAGAACTGGATGCAGTACTCCGGGTGGGATCTTACAGCAGCAGAGTAGAGGGACAGAATCACCTCCCTTTTTATCAACTGATACCACCAAATCCTTCTTCTCAGAGCTGCTCTCAAGCCATTCTCCTCCCAACCTGCTTTTATGCTTGCGATTGCCCCAGCCCAGATGCAAGACCTTGCACTTGGCCTTGTTGAATTTCGTAGGGTTGGTATAGGCCCACCTCTCAAATCTGTCCAGATCCCTCTGGATGGCATCCCTTCCCTCTAGCGTGCAGCACTCAGCTTGGCGCCATCTGCAAACTTGCTGAGGGTGCACTTGATCCCACTGTCTGTGTCACCTACTTAAACAGCACCGGTCCCAGCACTGATCCTTGAGAAATGCCACTCGTCACTGGTCTCCACTTGGACATTGAATTGCTGTATTTAACATGCAACCCTCTGAGTGTGACCATCCAACCAGTTCCTTATCCAGTGAGAAGTCCATTCATCAAATTCATTTTTCTCCTATTTCATTACCAGGATGTTGTGTGGGACAGTGTCAAACATTTTGCACAAGTCCAGGTAGATAACACCAGTTGTTCACAGAATCATTAAGGTTGGAAAAAACTTCTAGGATCATCTAGTCCAACCATCCATCTACCACCAAACCACATTCCATCCATCTACCCACTAAACCACATTCCTTATTTTACCACACCTATACATTTCTTGAACACCCAGGGATGGTGACTCTACCACCTCCCTGGGCAGTCCATTCCAATGCCTGACCACTCTTTAGGAAAAGAAGATTCTTGTAATATCCAACTTGAACTCCCTTGCGCAACTTGAGGCCACTTTGTCTTTTCATACCACTAGTTATGAGGAAACTCACATGAGGAAAAGAGGCTGACCCACACCTTGCCACGACTTCCTTTCAGGCAGGTGTAGAGGGCAATAAGGTCACTCCTGAGCCTCTTCTTTTCCAGACTGAACAATCCCAGTTCCCTCAGCTGCTCCTCATAAGGCTTGTGCTCCAGTCACTTCACCAGCTTTATTACCCTTCTGTGGAAACAGTCCAGGGCCTTAATGTCTTGTAGTAAGGTGCCCAAAACTGAACATGGTACTCAAGATGCGGCCTCACCAGAGGGGAATAGGGAATGTAGAGAGATGATCAGATCCTCACACCAACTGGCAACAGTACTTCTGATACAAGCCAGGATGCCATTGGCCTTCTTGGCCACCTGGGTGCACTGGTGGCTCATGTTCAGCTGAGTGTTGTCCAACACCTCCATGTCTTTTTCCTCTGCATAGTCTTTTAGCCACTCTGCCCCAAGCTTATAGTGAGGCCTGGGATTGTTGTGACCAAAGTGCAGGACTCAGCACTTGGTCTCATCAAACTTCATCCCATTGGCCTCAGTCCAGCAATCCAGCCTTTCCAGATCCTTCTGTAGGGCCTTCCTACCCTCAGGCAGATCAATACCTCCTCCCAAGTCGGTGTCATCAAATGTACTGAGAGTGGACTCAGTCCCCTCAGTCAGGTCATCAATAAAGATACTAAACAGGACAGGCTCCAATACTGACCCCTGGGGAACACCACTTGTGACCATTCACCGACTGGATATAACTTCATTCACCACCATACTCTGGGCCTGGTCCTCCAGCCACTTCTTTACCCGACAAAGAGTGTACTTACCCAAGCCATGGGCTGCCAGCTTCTCTAGGAGAATACTGTAACAGACAGTGTCAAAGGCTTTGCTGAAGTCTCGGTAGACCACAATAACAGCCTTTCCCTTATCCACCAGATAGGTCACTCGATTACAGAAGGAGATGAGGTTGGTCAAGCAGGACCTGCCCTTTGTGAACCCATGCTGGCTGGGCCTGATCTCTTAGTTGTCCCACAAATGCCATGTGGCCTCACTTGAGATAATCTGTTCCATAGTTTTCCTGGCACTGAGGTCAGGCTGACAGGCCTGTAGTTCCCTGGGTCCTCCTTATTCTTGTAGATGGGAGTCACAATGGCAAGCCTCCAGTCCTCTGGGACCTCTCCAGTTGACCAGGAACACTGACAGGTGATGGGAAGTGGCTTTGCAACCACCTCCACCGGCTCCCTCAGCACCTTTGATTGGATCTCATCTGGCCTCATGGACGTGTGACTGTCTAGATGGAATACAAGCTCTCTTAAATGTTTCTAGCTGAATTGTGTGGTCTTTATTCTTCTCCCCATACCAGACTTCCAGGTTAGGGGGTAGAGTATCCTGAGCATAACTGGTCTGACAGAGTAAAGAAGGCACTGAGAACCTCAGCCTTTTCCTTATCCTCAGTGGTCATGTTCTGCTCCACATCCAGTAAAGGATGGAGATTCTCTTTACTCCTGCTCTTATTGTTAATACATTTGTGAAGAAGTTTTTGCTCACTTTTACAGCAGTGGCCAAGTTGAGTTCATGCTTGTGTTTTGCCATTCTAATTTTCTCCCTGCATACCCTAGCAACATTCAGTATCCTAAATGGTTCATTCTACCCTTTAGAAGTCCAAGGTAGCCATTTTGCTGACCTCCTCAATTACCAAGAATCGAGAACTGTCATGGTGCCCAACACAGCTCCCAACCTCTATATCTCCCACCAGTCCTTCTCTGTTTGTGAACAGCAGGTCTAGCACAGCACCTCCCCGGTAGGTTCTCTTAGCAACTGCGTCAGGAAGTTTTAGAAACCTCCTAGACTGCTTCCTCTGCAGTATACTGTATTTCCAGTATATATCAGAGAATTTGAAGTCCCCCAGGAGAACAAGGATTGGTGGTCACGTAGAATCTGCTAGCTGCTTGTAGAACACATTGTCCATCTCTTCATCTTGTTTAGGTGGTCTATAACAGACCCCCACCAGGATGTCAGCCTTATTAGCCTTTCCCCAGATCCTTACCTAGAAAGACTCAACCTTATTGCCATCCTTGAGCTCAATGACACCAAAACACTGTCACAGAGAGCCAGGCCTCTGCCCCTACTTCCTTGCCAATCCATTCTGAAGAGCTTATAGCCATCCACTGCAGCACTCCAGTCATGGGAGCAATCCCACCATATTTCTGTAATGGCAACTAAGTCATAGTTTGCCTGTTGCACACTGGCGTCCTGCGCCTTCTGTTTGTTGCCCATGCTGTGTGCAGTGGTGTAGATGCACTTCAGCTGAACTACTTGCCCCACCCCCAGCCCCGTCATAATTCCTGTAGGCTTATCTCAAGCAAGCCTTATTTCATCCTCTGCCCCCTTTATACCTTGTTTAAAGCCCTCTCAACAAGCTCTGCCAGCGTGTGGGCTAGGATCCATTTCCCCCATTAAGACCAGAGAGACCTATCTGCAGCCATCAGGCCAGGCTGTGAGTAAACCACCCGATGGTTGAACAATCTAAAATTCCTGTGACTGCACTACCCTCTTAGCCTCATATTTATCAGATTTGTTTGCTTGGTCCTCTCAATATCCCTAACTGCCATGGAAGAGAGAGAAAAAAATACCACCAGTACTGTTCCATCAACTGACTGCCTCAATCCCCTGAAGTCCCTTTTGATAGCCCTCAAGCTTCTCTCAGTGCCTTCATCACTGAACTATCAGTAAAGAGTAGTAATCAGTGTCAATCCGGACCAGGGAGATTTTTTGTAATGTCAGTGACTCGGGCTGCAGGAAGGCAGCCAACTTCCCTATGGATCTGGCCAACATGTTGGGCCCTCCATTCTCTTCAGAAGGGAGTCCCCTACAACAATTAGCCTTCTTTCCTCGGCAGAGGCAGTCTTACAGTTAGGCAAATATCATTTTCAGGAATCATTTAGATAGAACTGAATATGCATGGAGACATGTAAGATTTTCTCTTCTCACCCCCCTTCTTTGCTCATTGTTTTTACTGTGCAGAGGGATTTGGAAGACTGGATCTCTAAGTACAGGGCCATCCTGAGAGGTGTTGCTATTAAACTGTAAACATGTCTAAATTGCAGTAATATTCATCTTCATTATATATTAAATTGATCAAATAGCTCAAATTCTCTTTCAGTTGAGTTTTTTTGACAGTAATTTAGATGCTTGAAAATAGGTGAGGGTATATTTAGACAGCTGGACCAATTGTAGAGTTGTTAGGGGGACCAGCTGGCACCCAGTTACAGCAACTGGTCATCTAAAATGGTAGCAGTTACCTATTTTACATGCCTAAAATGGCTCACAAAGCATCAATACAATACATAAAATTAAAAGAAAGGGAAGAGTTAAACACAGATCCTTGACAGTAAGACAGTATATAACTGATGAGACTATATCATTTCAGACTGAGAATTTTTGCTGTAGGAAATTAGCCTGTCAGAGTGAGAATATTGCATTAGTGAAAGTCCTTGGGTAATTTTTCTTTTTGATTTTTGCATCCAGGCCGCGCTTTGCTGAGACTTACTGACAAAAAGCTTGAACGAATGGGCATTGCCCAGGAAAGCCTGCGACAGCACATTCTGCAGCAAGTCCTTCAGCTGAAGGTGAGAGAAGAAGTCCGAAACCTCCAACTGCTCACACAAGGTATGAAAAATAATTTTGGTGCAGGAAGCTATTGAGATCAGGTAGAAGTTTGCCTGAGGGCATGAAAGGTGACTTGACATTCTTCTGCAAGAAATGATGCGTGGAAATGTCTCAGAGATTCCACATACTTTCAAAGTTGGGGACAAAAGGTAAAATATTGTATAAATAAACAGAGTTGTTTAGCTGCCTGTTTTGAATGATGAGCGAGCTCCATCTATAGCTTGAGAGTAACCTTACCTTAATGTCTGTTTACTAACATGAAAATATTTACAAATAAAGGGTACAAGTAGATAATGTGCTGTCTTTATAGACATCGTACATTTTCTACTTCTTAATTAATTATTAATTAATTATTTTCTATTAATTGTTTACTTCAGATAATAGAGTAATCTCTGTAACCTCTTTTATGGTAAGAGCTGTCAGTGGAAAATTACCTGTTATACTCAGCTTTTTGCAGATGGTTGATTCCTTTTTCTTGTTGGAGAAATTTTATTGACTTGAATAGAGTTGCTCCTAACTTAAGCTGCTAAAAAAAGCAAAACTGAGCTCAATATGGTGATCTTAGTTAGGAGACAGGGAAGCAGGAGCTTGTACATATTTTCCAAATGAGGTTAAGATGTTTTATAATGACTTGCGTTATTAGCACTCTATTAAGGCTTTTTAACAGCTGTGGTAACACAGAAGAGAAGCAGTCAATGTAATAACAATGTAAAGTAACATTTATACATCTTCTAATACATATCTGCAGTACTTCTCAGTGTTAAACATTGCTTGGTAGTCCAGTGAGATAGCAAAAACCACACACTTCTGTGGTTTTTTGGTTCAGTGCCTGTTATATGTCACATCGTATGAAAAAAATAGAGTTCTTCAGTACATGCAGTGTATTTTTAACAAAATGTCCTTCACACATGGCATTATGTTCCCGATTAAGCCTTTCTCGCTGTGTTTGGGGAAAAACTCTCTGATCAGTTGAGTAAGCTGCATTTTATCTGAACAAGCTCATGTCTTAGCTGAATATTCCTTCAGGCTTTGTGTCATGTAGGTTGTGATGAGGAGCTTTAGGGCTCCTTTATATCTCTATGATCTGTGAATATGACTTCACCCCATCTTTTCTTGTGTCAAACACCATGCTCATGCTAAAGTATCAGTGCCATCCCCAGTTATGTAAAACCTTTCCTCTTCCATTCATCCTTTCATCCACAGTTCCTAAATCTTTTTCTCTGATATTGGTTGTTTTCTCTCTTTCCCTTCATGAATTGTTAGGAAAGTTTACAGACTGCAAAGTTTTTGTCACCAGCCATGACTGGTTTAAGCTAGTTTATGGAAGTTGGGACTTTACTCCTGAGGGACAGTGAAGATCCAGAAGCTATAGATTTGCATCCGTTGGTCACTGTAGACAGTCCTCTCCATCAACCTGTTTTTGTCATCGAGGACTATATATTTCCAGGCTTCTTGTTCCTCTCTGGACACATCAACCATGAGTCACAATTAGTCAGACAGTGATGACGGCCGTTTCAAGGAATTCATCCTTTGAGATTTATTCCACGAAGCTAAGGATACAAATTTAGATTTTAGCAAGAGCATGAATAAACACATGCTGGACTATGAAGGAAAGTTTAGCAGTTGATATACAGGTAGGTGTTTAATGTATTCTCTCTGCAATGTAAAGAGAACAATGTAATGTAGTCTGATTGGATAAAGACATGCCATGGGCTGATTTATGAAATTCAGCACAATCCTACCAAAAGCTGATGGTCTGCATCTCCTGCAGTCCTCCCCTGCAGTGGCACTGGACATTCTAGTCATCTTAAATAAAGCCTGTAGAACTGTACTGTTGACTACCAAATGTTCTCCTGTGCACCGGATCTGTGCTAATTGTATGATTCCAGATCAGGGGGCGATGAGTGATGGAATGACAGCAGTATTCCTATTCCTTATCACCTCATTTACACCACGTTGGAGTGTGTCTGTTGAAAGTGCTTGTTTACAAGTACCAAGATTAAGATACATTTTCACAACTAAGTGCAGTCTGTAAAGTCACATGTCAGTTGTTCTCTGAAACTAATTCTGTCCTCCTGCCCATTTTCTTCAAACTGTGTCCACGCTTAGCATGGTTTATGCACTCCTAATCCAGGTTGTTACCAGAATAGCTTCCTGTTAGTCCTTTTCTGTTTTGTAGAACATTTCTGAGGGATAACACATTTGCGTGCCAGCAGTTTCTGCCTTTTGGAAATTCAGCGTGCAAATTGCAATTGCTACACTGTCCTCTTCTATCCTCCAAAATGTCCTCCTATAAAAGGGGAAAAAAAGCCCTGTATCTCATAATTCACAGCTCAGGAATCTCTAGGTAAAAGAAGCCATTAAAAATCCTATCTGAATTCATTTAGCATACCAGCTGAGTTACAAGCAGTAAGGTCCTAATCTGGGGCTCATTGATGTCAGCAAAATGACTTCCACTGACTTTAGTTCATATCCTGTTTGACGATGGAGAGAATAGGGAAAGTTTCAAAAAAGCTTTGTGCAGTACTTATCAGATATTTGAAGTGTTTTTGTGTTCTGTTGTCTGCAGAGAAAGTTAACCTCATTTTAAGCACTCGACAGAAGACCAGCATTCTTTTCCACTCCTATTTTAGAAAATTGCTTAAAACTGCTTCATTCTTTTTCATTCAGGACCCACCATCCACTGTGTTCTGGGGACAGTAAAGCAGAACAGTATGTGATTGTCAACTCTTGAGTTTCAGGAAGACTTTTCTTTGGAGTAAGGACTGTTTGATTGAGGCTATTATCAGCGGAAATGCTATTCCAACCTTCACTAGGATAGAAGGGCACAGACCCAGCTACCAATCTGTGCTTTTTTCCTAGACTTAGTGATGTTGAGAAACTAATTTGACAAAACATCTCCCAGTGTCCTCTGGGGAGAGCGGCACACTGCTGGAATCACTGGTATTGTACTACTTCCACTCTAAACCTGAGTTGAAAGATCATTAGGAAAAAAAAATAAAAAAGCCTTACGTAACAGCAGAAAGTGGCTATTTTGAGATTTTTCAATGTGAGTCCTGGTTTTGGCTAGCATAGAAGAGACTGTCCTCAAAATGGTAGAACAATGTGATGTGGGATTCTCAGCAAAGTATGCACAGGCAACAATTGGCTAATAGGGCTGAGCATATGAAGTGCTTTTGGATTTAGATTAAATGATATCTGAATTTAAGATGACATTGGGCCCCTCCTAAGCTTCTCCCTGAGTTTGATATGGGGCAAAACTTGAATATGGCCACAGAAGTGCTATTTTCTTTAAAAAAAATCATAAAATAAAAAATTGTTCTGCTAGCAAAAAGTTATAGAATAAGGTTTTGTGCTTCCCTGAAAAGCATCACAGCTGTTGATAACTGTTGACATTATTTTTTCAGTAAGTTTTATAATTGTCCTGCGCCAGTGCTGAACTACTGAAAAATACCTTCAGAGGACAGATGAAGTTGTGTTGCAGTGATGGATTGTTCAATGGGTTTTGGAGGAAAATCATAGCAGAAACATTGCCTTAAGGGTCAATGTAGTGAGTAAACCACAACTATGAACTCCACCCTGCTAAAAGCTGTTATAAGGATTTTTGTAGTACTAGCAATCTTTTAATACTGGAGTAAAGGCAAGCATGATCAAGCAAAGAAAGTGTGAGCTGTTTAACACAGAACCTCCCCAGGCAGTCAGAAACATAGTCCTAATTCCTGTTCACCTTGTCTACTTCTTCCTTTTGAACACTGAAGGTTGGATGAATTTGAATGCTGCCTTTCCAGCTTTCATAATTGTATCTGAGGACATTTGTTGTTTTCCATAATGAAAGCACTGAAGCACTAAACTTAATTCCCATTTTCTGGATTTTCACTCACAAAGACCTTCGCTGTTCTAATAGGTACAGGACACAGCACCAATAACTGGAAATTGCACACCTGCTTGAGAAGGAACTTGAACAATCAGAAAATTTGAGAACATAGGACCTTGTGAAGTGCAGAACTGGAAGGTCATTTGGAGTTAAGAGAATACTGGAGCTTACAGTCCCACTGATGTGTAGACTTTATGGATACACTGGTATCTAAACTGTTGTCTGCTGTCTTTCATGTCTTTTAAGAGACTTTGCTGGGGATCAGGACTTTCCTTTGTTATCCCTATAAAGAAATCAGTAACTGAAGTTTATGATAAAGGGTGATCCTGTTACACTTCCAGGATGTACTGTTTTCTTTCCTGGGTATGTTCTGGACTCAAGGTTTTGGCACCTGAGGAGTCACGAGTTCCTTCCTCCAGAAATACTCCTTTTCTTGTGCGTAACAAACAGCAGATGTTGTCTATGTGAGCGCTCAAGGTAGGCAGTGTGTTTGCCTTCTCAGGCAGCCAGTGGGAGGAAGCGTGTAACGCTTGTGGAATTTGGGTTTCGTGTCCCTGTGGTGGTGTTCAGGGGCGTGAAGCATTTGAAACGTTGACTGTCCTCTTACCAGGCACCCATGTCTTTTCTTTTTATTGTCTTGACCTCACCTTTTTTTTTGTTCCCCTAACCGTAATGCTTCCAGCTAGTCAGGAAAAGCCTTTCTTCTTTTAGCACAAATTACTGTGCAAATGTTTCTTGCATATGCTCCATACGTGGCATCTGTCCAATGCACAGAAAAAAATACTTGGTATTTCAGAAAAGCTCTACTTAATTCCTGGCTGATTTCCTTTGCTTTGTGTCCTGTTATGGTCTAACATCTCTGATGACCTCATGAGTAGAAAACAAAGAACAGTATGGAAATATTGGCAGAATTTGTCCCAAAGTCCAGGAATAAACTGGTTTCCAGGATTCAACATGCTAAATTGCCTGATTATATATGAACAAACGCTGATCTTCTGCTTACTGCTTTCTTTTCACCAATGTCATTATCCTTCTTACTTTCTTCCTTTGTACATTCTCCACTGTATTGCTGTTGGAATCTTAGCACTGGTGCTAAGTGCTTAACACTTCTCTTCCAAGACCATAA